TCAATTTGAATAAAAATGAGAAAAAAACATTTACGAAAGCAAACGACTTTGTGTATAGTTTTAAGTGCAGTGTTCCTTAATGAAATCGTGGTCCAGTTTCGCTTCATGGCCAATTTTATGATGGAGTTTTGGTGATAATTTTTAGATGTTCTACTATGTCATGAAACGACCTTTTTTCCCGGCAGTACCGTACCGGACATTTAATTAATGAGTTTTGAACCACAAGAAGTGAGATAGTTTCTTCCCCGATTTCTTCGGACACTTTAGGCTACATTTCAGAGACCAGCTCCTCAACGATGGAGTTTCTCACTCCATCATCCGAAAACATAATGGACACAGTCGTTTTAAGATTCCGCAATTGTAACAAACGGTATGGCCCATAGGAACACATCATAGTTGTTGTTAAAATTTTGGAACAACTTTTGCAAAACATCTGAAAGTGGCCGGTAGGTAAGTAAAAGAGTAAAGTAAAATTGCAACTTACCGTAAAATTTGAAATAAAATTGTTTTTGAATGAATGAGTTTTAAAAAGCCAATAAAATAACTGCACTGTTTATCACAGACAATGTCTTTCACACACCTCTGCCTATTTGACGATAAGTTTTTTCATTGATTAAAACCGAAGATTTCGTAGTACACCATTCTTTTCGCTTATTTCTATCAATTATTATTTGTTTAATTTTTTTTTAGAAATTGTGATGAAAAATACAAAAATAAATCTGCAATTAATTAAAAAATTCTAATACCAGTATCTTATTAATTTATTATTTTATGTAGGTGGAAAAAATACGTATTATGAATGTGGAATTAGATTTTGTGGCGATTTCTCAAAAGGCCTAAGCGTAGCTTAAAAAATATTTTTAAATTCTAACTAAAAAGATTGCAACTCAAATTATTTTTTAAGTAGAGGTATTTCAAATTAAATTTTCTTATTAAGTTTATATGTTAATTATACAAGGCGACAAAAAAAAGTCATGTCGTTACAACTTGACAAATTTTATATCATTTTGTTCGTGTCAGTAAGACAAATCAAATACACTAAAAAAAAATTCAAAAAGTCCACACACTTTGAACTAAATATATTTTTTTTAATTTAAATGAATTTAAAATACTTTAACTTTAAAAAATCATTACTCAATAACTATTAGGCCAATTTCCTTCAAATAAAGACCATTCTAAAGAGATGGCCTTGCCCTTTAGAATGATGTAAAATTCGAAATTGAATACTGGCAAACTTTTCTTCGAACAGTGTTCGAAGAAGTTCGAAGTAAATCGAAGTAATCTAAGAAAAACCCTACGAGTATTTTTTTTTCATCACCATCGTGTAGAGCATTTTTTTATTAGTAAGAATCCAAATTTTTAAATAATATACCGAGTAATTTTTAAGATATGATTTTTTGAAGTTAAGGTTTGCTATTCAGGTGTTGCGCCATATAGGAGAAATGCATGTTAATCTTACTTAAAATTGCATTTTTATAAAAGTATTTGTTTTAAGACTCTTTTTTTGCTTAAAAATGGTCAGTTGCACCTTCTTTCTTCTAATTAGAATAAACAAAAACTGTTTCTTTACTTAAAACAAACAAAGAGTACCTGCGTACTAATTAAAGCAAATAAAGAGTTCTTTGTTCTAAATAGGATCACTGATCATTGAGCAAAAAGGATCTAGAAGTTAAAGCAGTAGCTTTAAATATAAGAACAAATCTTTTTCAAACTAAATGACTTTCCATTCAGATTCCAACTTGTTCACTTTGTTCTAGCTTTCTGAACTTTTTTTTGAAAATGTTTTTAGCAAATGCTTTCTCATCACTTTCTACTGATGTTGAATGCAATAAGTCACTTGCTTCGTGTGCAACTGTTATCACAACAACTACTACCTACAAGCTAACTGAAGCTAATCGTAGAATGTACCAACAAAATAAATCAGTTGACTTTTTGAAAAAAAGTTCAGAAAGCTAGAACAAAGTGAACAAGTCGAAATCTGAATGGAAAGTGATTTGATATGAAAAAGATTTGCCCTTATATATGCCTTAAACTTCTAGATCCTCTTTGCTCAATGATCAGTGGTCATTTTTACAACAAAAAAACTCTTTATTTGCTTTAATTTGTACGCAGGTACTCTTTATTTGTTTTAAGTAAACAAATAGTTTTTGTTTATTGCAATTAGAACAAAGAAGGTGCAATTGACCATTTTTAAGCAAAAGCAGAGTCGTAAAACAAATACTTTTATAAAAATGCAATTTTAAGTAAGATTAACATGCATTTCTCCTATATGGACCAATGCTTGATTAGCAAACCATAACTTCAAAAAATCATATCTTGAAAACTACTCGGTATATTTTTTTGAAAATTTGGATTACAACTAATAAAAAGATGCTCTACACGATGGTAAAGATGAAAAAAAAAATATCGTAGGGTTTTTCTTAGATTATTTCGATTTACTTCGAACTTCTTCGAACACTGTTCGAAGAAAAGTTTGCCAATATTCAATTTTAAATTTTACATCATTCTAAAGGGCAAGGCCATTTCTTTAGAATGGTCTTTATTTGAAGGAAATTGGCCTAATAGTTATTGAATAATGATTTTTTAAAGTTAAAGTATTTTAAATTCATTTAAATTAGAAAAAAAAATATTTAGTTCAAAGTGTGTGGACTTTTTATTTTTTTTAGTGCATTTGATTTGTCTCACTAAGACGAACAAAATGATATAAAATTTGTCAAGTTGTCACGACATGACTTTTTTTTTTGTCGCCTTGTGTTATCCAAGAATACTTACATATTGTAAGAAAAAAAAACTTTATTCCACCAATAGGAAACACAATTTAAATTTAATTAATTTTAAGTAATGTTTGGATAAAACACTATTGGAGATTCCGGATATAGCCTTCACAAATAAGATTCTGTGAGTTATAAGTTGTTATAACCGGTGTTTATTTAAATTTGGCGTCATAGTTGGCGGTGATATGAATGTTTTGTGAACGAACGTACCACAATTTTTAATACGCTCGGCGAGGTGTGAAATGTCACTTTCAACACGTGGTTCGATTACATTGGGATTGGGTAACTTTGACGCCAAATTAAAAAAAAAACACCCGTTATTAATTTAAGAAAACAACTACATGGCGCAGAAAATGGTCAACAGATATAAACCTTTACCTAATGCGCCATTAAACATTAATAAAATATACTAATTGACCAATATCACAATAACGATTGGTTTCAGGCTTTTTAAAAGACAATTACCTAAACAAAAAATTCAAAATATACAAGATGTTTTGACAGCATCATTGAGCATGCTCAATCTTATCTATTGTTTCAAACAATTTGTTTGGGATACATGCATGTACCCCAAATAATAGATAACAATAAACTGTGTAAGTTTGTTTGAAGAAGTATTGTCATATCTTTAAAAATAATGAAGTTATGGTCTGGGTTGTTTTTTATAATGCAGCCTGTAAAAATTTATTGTACCTAATTTGCACCAATAAATCTCAATTTGTATAAAATTTATGTAATTGAAACAGTTTTGAAAATCAAAAACTTATTAAGTATAATTTTCTCAAAAATTGATATTTCCATTTAAATATAGTTTCGCTGGTGAAAATTATCAGATTAGGCAATAAAATTAATTGCTCCAGTTTGATTTAAATGTTACAAAATACAGGGTACGCCAGAACTGGCGCCCCAGTGACAAATGGGTACGATAGAAAAAATGTTAAAAAAAACATCTATAAAAATTTCAAAGTTATGAGAGTTTAAATTTTGCACTTTGACTCTATTTGTTTCTGTTGGAAAATAATTTTCCAAGTTTTTTTGCTACAGGCTATTAGAAGAGGAAACAAGGAAACTGTATCCTAAATTGTAAATTTGTTTAATGTTGGTTGTTTGTTGGCAAAATTTTATACCTTTACTAAATAATTATAAGAAAACATATACAAGATCATCAGTTTCATTAAATAGCCAAAAAAATGTCAAATATCGAAAAATAAATCTCAAAATTATTTTACAAATAGAATTTTTTAAACATTTTTTCCATATTCCTGTTATTTTTTCGGGGCGCGAGTTCTGACATCCTGTATAAAAAAATACGAAACTAACAAATTTTTATAATTTTTTTTATTATATCGTAGATATTATGGGTAGGTTAGTATAAATGTGTTAATTATTATTAGCAGTTTTTATTTTTTGACATTGAAATTTTTTTTAGCGGTTATGTTATGTAAATAACAGACCTGCCTACTAGACATAAACAAAAATAAAAGTATGCTTTTTAGAAATATTAAATCTTAAAATTATAAAAACACCTAATGTATACTCTAATTACTTCATAACTAATAAAAGTATTGTACAAAAATAAACAAATAATTTCAGTAAAGAGTTACCGTTAAAATGGTAATAAATATTTAGCAGTGGTTAATAAAAAAATGTCAAACTACTTAAAATTTCTACATAAATAACAGTTCTGGAATTTGTCACTTGTAACTTATTATTAGTATCTGCGTCAGAACTATAAAGTTGTTTCATTCATTATTATACATTTTAAATGTTAGACTATATTTATAATAATCAATAGGTTTAACTCTGAAGTTAACCAATAAAAATCACAAAACAATTCTTATTTTCTCAAATCGGTAACATTTTTTTTTCAAATTAATTTTAGTTTATAAATAAATTTTAAAAACATGAAACTCTTGCGTGATAAGAGTCTGCGACTAATACATTTTTAATAGAAATTTCATTGAATGTTCATTAAAACAAAATTAACTGAATAGCCAAGTAATATGAAGAAAATAACTAAAAAAAACTTCTTTGTTTCATCAAATCAACAAACTACGTAAACATTATTTTCTTTGTTGTTTGCACTTGATTAATTAAACCAAATCAGCCATTCCGTATGCATCGCGAGAAACACTTCCTTTATGGTTTGTGTTTTATTAATTTTATCGAACCGTTCTCAAATTATTGCCGCAACAACTTTTTTCCAGTCCAAGGACTTCCTTCCCCATATAAAACTTTATGCTTCGGAAGAGACTCGCTTGTATCGTATTTGTTACCTACGAAGACGTTGTGATTAAGTTAATTTTAGTTTTTTCGGACAAGATGGGATCTAAATTATTTATTGTTTTTCTCGGAATCGTGTGTTTTGCGTCGGCCGCTATACGTAAGTTGTAATTTTAAATAAGCACAAAGTGTAATCAGTTAATGTAATTGCCGTAATAGTAAAAAAAACATTTAAATGGGACGCAAGGTTTGGATTTGTACTCATTGCATCATTTACGTGCACTGGTTCCTTAAATATTACAATTTTGCAACAACTTATTAAGGCTTGCAATACGTTGCTAATCGAATAACTATTTTTATTTGAAGAATTTACAATTATTTTAAATACAAATATGTAATTATCAAACATTAACCTGCGTGACACAATTAATAGCATGCCACCGATATTACATTCAATTTAATTTAATATTTTTCTCTGATTAAAACAATCCAAAATCGTAAGATGTTGGTATTTCTAAAAATTTGATAATTTCTTTACAAATGAGGCTTACAAAAAAGCTTAAAATTACCTATTGAAAAACTGGTTGTGTAAGTGAAAGTGATAACCTAAATTTAATCAAGTTTCAAATATCTAAATTAAATATAAATTTTTTAATATTCTTCCAGTATCAATAATTTTAAAATTATTTTTTACTTCGAGCCAATTTAATTTCCCATGCTAATTTTTAGCCCGTTTGCGTCATGTTTTTCCCAAAGAAATAATTATTATATTGTGTTTTTGATTTGACGACCATGATAAAAATATAATATCCTTGTGTGTATCTTTTTTACCTACTTTGCACCCTTGAAAAATAAGTATAGGATGTAAAAATACTTGTTTAACATATTTGACAAATTGACATTTTATAATAGTTATTGATTTGTATTTATTACTAACAAGTTAATTAATTTGTATAAGGTCAGTCTGACTAAATTATAATGCTATGCTCTAATCTGTGTAATTTTTTATGTGCTACTTTCTCTAGTCCAAGTTATTTATTATTAATAAATCACGTATACACGCTACCTAAATGAAAAATAAGTTTATTTTTTAAGTAATCATGGTTTGCCTTGAACTTGACTGTTAATGTAAATAAGTCACTACTTATTTGTATTTTACTACCTATTGACCTAGAAGTAAGATTATCTTTGATTCTTTGAAAAGAACCAGATTTCCTAATTAAGTGATCAAAAATTTCCATTACATTTTTGCTAGTTTTTTCATCTAGGAACTCATTAATATTTGATATAAACAAAGTGTCTTTGTTTGTAAAAAATGTTATCTGTACCTATTTATATTCTTTAAAAATGTGCGAAGGTTCAAAAATGGGTGTGTTAGAACTCGCGCCTCAGAGAAAAATTTCAAGTAAGATAAGATATCAGGAACATGGAAAAAATGGAAAAAACATGAAAAATGGAAATGGAAAAAATTCTATCTGTACAGATTTTGACATTTATTCTTTGACATTTCACATTTTTTATGTCTATTTAATGATACTCATGATTTTGTACAGAGTGGTTATAAATGATTTTCATCTAGCCAGCTTTGGAATTTTTTTGCATGTAACTTTATTTGTGCCGCTCTACTTTTTTGAAAGCTCTAGTTCTGTCATTAGTGTTACTTATTAATTAATAATAAATGGTTATTAATTAAACTTTTATTGTTTCAACTAATTTCCAATAATAATTGATAATGATGTATACTTTGGAAGAAAACAAGTTTATAATTGAAGTCTATTTTCGAAGTGGACGCTTAGTAAACGGCGATTTTTTAATTTTGAGTTAAAACAAGTAGGTGCCCCTATTTTCGTAAAGCGGCATTTTTTATTTTACATGGAAAATACACAGCTGGCTAGATGAAAATCATTTATAACCACTCTGTATATGCTTTTTTATAATTATTTAATAAAGGCACAAAAATTTTGCCAATAAAAGCCACAAATAACATTAAACAGAGTTACAATTTAGGATACAGCCTCCTTGTTTCTTCTTCTAATAGCAATGTAATGTACCAAAAAAACTTGAAAAATTATTTTTCCAACATAAATAAATAGAGTCAAAGTGCAAAAATTAAACTTTTATAGCTACGAAATTTTTATACATAGAATATTTTAACACTTTCCTCTGAGGCGCGAGTTCTGGCGCATCATGTATACTTGTTAGCAACTCCATTATTCTCGTTTATAAAGATTATACACTTATGTAAATTCTGCACGCAGTTGTTAAGCCTACATACAGAAAACGAAATAAAAAATTTAATTTAGAAATGAATTGATTCATAATATAAATAAATAAATCAAATAAATCATAACAGAACAAAAATAATAGAAAATACAAAAATAATAAATGTTTTAAACAATTTTTTTTGCTTACTTTACAATAAATTATCGATCTATCTTTTTAAAAAAATATATAGAGGGTGTTTACGGTCTTGAGGTTGGTTGATATTTTAATGAGATGACATTTATGGTAGAAGAAAACTATTACGCTATATAAAACAAAAATTCACGTTGTGAAAGAAAATAATTCATTTTATATCATTTGTTTGAGAACTGCTGCTTCAGCTGCAACAATGGCCATTACTTGTGTTTGACCGTAAATCATAATCACGACAACTAATTTATTATTTTAATATTTTTTTGCCATTCATGTTCATAATTCATAAATCTGGAAAAAAATTGAAAAAAAACGAATCAAACCTATTGTAAACCATTTCGCTGGAAGAGATTAAATAGGAGATCTTCGAATTTTGATAAAAACTAAAGCAAAAGCAAATCAAATGATGACATTGTCAAAACTATAAAGTGACTTTTCTCTTTCATTSTCACGGATACGATTTTTTTATTTGTTGCAACAYTACAATTTTATCAGAACAAGGAAATAATTCCAGCGACCCCCAAACCGTGTATCAATTTTTTGGAGTTAAATAACATTCTTAATAATAACAAATGTGTGAGTTTTTTTCTAGGTTACAGCATTTCTGTACTCTTCTATTACCAGGTCAATTTTCAACTCAAAGACCATAAACACCCTGTATATTATAATAAAATTAAAGTTTACTTTGAATTTATATTTTTTTCATATGGTAAATAAATTTAAATAAAATATTTAATTATAGTATATTACAAACCGCATGGGAAATTGGTCATCTCCGAGAGCTCAGATGTATGACTAAAAGTGCAACCTCAAAATTAGACAGAGCGCCAGGATGTAATGAATTCCTATCTTGGTTTGCATGCCACATCTTTTTTATACACTATTAAATTTTGTTTAATATACCTACACGGTGATGCAAAAGTCTCGGACCAACTCTCGAATGCGAAACGATGAAAAAAAACTCTCATTTAAGCATAAAAATGTAGGTATGCAGATTTTTTTCAATCCAGAACTGACAATTTCCAAATTACAATTGCGCACACGGAATTTTGGACGACTTTTCATTCGACTGACATAAAAATATAAAACGGGACTTACGCAACTAACCTCGCTTTCAGTTATTGTAATTTTTATCCTGACAGCTAGAGAAAAAAATGACAACAAATCAAAATAATTTATTGATGGGATTATTGTTTCGGAAAATCGACGCCAGAAATTTCAATTAAAACTTTGAAATTTTAGTTTCAAACGTCAATCATAATGACAATAAAGCGTGGCTTCCATTGACATTTTTTGACTGACATAAATATGATGTCTAAAATTCCGTGTCCGTAATTGTATCATTTCATTTATTGTTTTCGATGTTGTCGGATTTAATATATTGTTGAATTTGCTAGTTTGTCAAATCCTTTGTATACCATATAAGACACAAGTTGGTGATTTTTTCTCAACAGTTAACTAAAGTCAAGAATACATTATTTGAACGGCCAAAAACTTAACCCAAAATCTTACTTTTGAAGAGCTATATCTCGTTAAAAAAGACTCAAACAATTTTTTGTCATGGGAACTTTTAACTTAGTTGGATGTCTTTCATCACCACTCAAGAGATGGTTCGAGACTTTTAAATCACTCTGTATAAAAATACGTTAAAGTTAATACTTTGATAATTATATTAGCTGCTATGCAAATAAATTGAGTGTTTGACATTTGATAGGTTTGTAATCTTGGTAATTCTACAAAAACTACTTCCTGATCAATGACTAATGATATATTTCCCGACTTCCAAAAGATTAGAAATCGGAATATAACTATAGAAATTGGGAATAAAGATACATGTTTTACTTAATTAGATAAATAGAATGCAAAATGGTTTGTCAATATTGGATAAAAAAGCTAAAAACACATACTTTAATGTCTTGTGAGTTTGTATGTAAAAAATAATTAATTTTATGTCTTTGTAAAAGTAGTTATGATTATTTGGATATGCATTTTAACATTTTATAGTTATCAAAGTTTAAAAACATTACATTGTTAATAAAATAATTTAAGTATTTTTTATTTTTGTTATTTTCTTCCGAACTGAAAACGTCTTGTAGCCTTATCTAAAAAAGTAATTTTCATTCATTTATTCTACATTAGGTTTTCCCTTTTATGCTTAAAGCACTCACGTAACATGCATTTACATTTATTATTCTAAAAATTTTTATAAATAAGATATTATCAAATGAAAAAAAACTTTTAATATAAGAATAAAAGACTCAAGGTTATTATGAAGTTCCAATTAATCTCTTGTCATTTAAAACCCAGACTGCAAAATGTACATATACAAAAGATTTTACATGCGGTGTTTATACGGTTATTTGCTCTTAGTCATAGTCTTTTACTTTATCGTGGACGTGGAAGAAGACAGAGGTGAGTAGGCACTTAATATGGATAAACTCACTTTAAGTATAAAATAATTATAACATGAATTGCGTTGTTTGCATTTATCTCAGAATTAAATGCGACAAGACGCATTATGTCCTCTGTTCAAGAACGTTTTGCGTCTCTTCTGAATACAAAAAGCAAATCAATCCAATAAATTGCAAATTTATTTATTATTAGGGTCACTAACACTTAATTTCAAGTTTAACACGTACCATTTTGCAATAATAAAGCATTATTAAACTAAACAAAGAAAAAAAGGGTATGAAATTGGCATTGCATAACTGTGACAACCTTGTATTTCATGTCAACGTAATTATTGAGACCTTAAGTGAAATAAAAAATGCATTTTTAGCACCGTATATTAAAGTGTGCAAGTCGTCAGAAGCCAATCTCGCAAGCTGTATCATCGAATCTGTCAATTTACTAAAACCCACACTTAAAGAAGGAATCCCCGAACTGAATGTGCCCCCTATTGAACCTCTCCTTCTTGACGAAGTCAAACTGCGAAGTGGCCCCAGTTCGGCCAAAATCAACGCCAACATCACCAACATCAAAGTATGGGGGCCTTCGACATTCGAAATCCTCGAATTGAAGTAAGTCTGAAATAACACAGAGCGACAAAAAAAGTCATGTCCTGACGACTTGTCTCAGTGAGACAAATCAAATGCACTAAAAAAAATTTAGAAAGTCTACAAACTTTGAACTAAATATTTTTTTTCTAATTTAAAAGGATTTAAAATTCATTAACTTTAAAAAATCATTACTCAATAACTATCAGGCTGATTTCCTTCAAATAAAGACCATTCTAAACGGATGGACTTGCCCTTTAGAATGATATGCAATTTAAAATTGAATATTAGCAATCTTAATAGTAAGTTTTTTTTTTTCTTCGTCACCATCGTGTAGAGCATCTTTTTATTAATTGGAATCCAAATTTTTAAAATAAGATACCGAGTAGTTTTTAAGATATGATTTTTTTAAGTTAAGGTTTGCTATTCAGATATTACGCCATATAGGAGAAATGCATGTTAATCTTACTTAAAATTGCATTTTTATAAAAACATTTGTTTTGAGACTCTTCTTTTGCTTAAAAATGGTCAATTGTACCTTCTTTGTTCTAATTAGAATAAACAAAAAACTGTTTCTTTACTTAAAACAAACAAAGAGTACCTACGTACTAATTAAAGCAAATAAAGAGTTTTTTTGTACTAAAAATGATCACTGATCATTGCGCAAAAAGGATCTAGAAGTTTAAAGCAGTAGCTTTAAATATAAGAACAAATCTTTTTCAATAAATCACTTTCCATTCAGATTCCAACCTGTTCACTTTGTTCTAGCTTTCTGAAATATCACTTTCTACTGATGTTGAATGCAATAAGTCAGTTGCTTCGTGTGCAACTGTTATCACAACAACTACTACCTACAAGCTAACTGAAGCTAATCGTAGAATATGTACCAACAAAATAAATCAGGTGACTTATTGCATTTAACATCACTCGAAAGTGATGAGAAAGCATTTGCTCAGAACATTTTTAAAAAAAGTTCAGAAAGCTAGAACAAAGTGAACAAGTCGAAATCTGAATGGAAAGTGATTTGATTTGAAAAAGATTTGCCTTTATATTTAAGGCTCGTGCCTTAAACTTCTAGATCCTCTTTGCTCAATGATCAGTGGTCATTTTTACAAAAAAAAAAACTCTTTATTTGCTTTAATTAGTAGGCAGGTACTCTTTATTGGTTATAAGTAAACAAACAGTTTTTGTTTATTCTAATTAGAACAAAGAAGGTGCAATTGACCATTTTTAGGCAAAAGAAGAGTCTTAAAACAAATACTTTTATAAAAATGCAATTTTAAGTAAGATTAACATGCATTTCTCCTAAATGGAGCAATGCTTGATTTGCAAACCATAACTTCAAAAAATCAAATCTTGAAAACTACTTGGTATATTTTTTTGAAAATTTGGATTACAACTAATAAAGAGATGCTCTACACGTTGGTAATGATGAAAAAAAAAATTACTCCTAGGGTTTTTCTTAGATTATTTCGATTTACTTCGAACTTCTTCGAAGAAAATTGTGCCATTATTCAATTTCAAATTTCATATCATTCTAAAGGGCAAGGCCATCCCTTTAGAATGGTCTTTATTTGAAGGAAATCGGTCTAATAGTAATTGAGTAATGATTTTTTAAAGTTAAGGTATTTTAAATTCATTTAAATTAGAAAAAAAATATTTTGTTCAAAGTGTGTGGACTTTTTAATTTTTTTTTAGTGCATTTGATTTATCTCACTGAGACGAACAATATGATATAAAATTTGTCAAGTTGTCACGACATGATTTTTTTTGTCGCCCTGTGTAATTACCTCCAGTTTCATTTACGAAACGATTTTAGGCCAAATTTGCCCAAAGCCAAATTTGCATTCAAAGTCAGAATTCCGTCGTTGCACTTCGAAGGCGATTACGACATTGACATGAGAATCCTCGTTTTGGAATATAAGGGAGTTGGACCAATTACAGGCAATTTTAGTAAGTTGTTGTGGATTTTTTGCTCTTAATGTAATTCATTTTTTTTTAGCAAATTACAGTTTTGACTGCATTTTGAAAGGAAATCGAATCCAGAAAGACGGAGAAGAGTATTTGAAATTTGATAAAATGCGTTTGAGGTTGAATATTGGTCATTCGAGGATTACTTTAGGAAATTTGTTTAGAGATGACCCAATTATTGGCAGAGCGACCAATGATGTTATTAATGACAACACTGATTTGTTTATTAACGAAATTAAACCAGTTTTAGAAAATTCGCTCGCTGAGAAATTCACAGACATTGCGAATAAAATTACGTTGAAATTTACGTACAAGGAATTGTTTCCTTGAACGTTGTAGAAGTGAGAACTAAATGTTGTTGTAAGATTTGTATTGCATTTATTATACTTTTTTGTTAATGGCGTGTTTTATTTAAAGACCTATCAATTTCAGTTAACATATTTTGTTTTAATATAAACAATCAAACAAATTAATGTTTTCTATTAGTAAACGATTAATAAATATTCAAAGAATGAAGTTTACTGACGTAAGTCGCTACTAAAGGTGGAATGATTTAATTATCATTTTTAGATTATTTAGCATGTTGTTAATGCATGGTTGAGTGTAATTTACAAGTTTAATAGCTACAAAAACTTTGAATTCAAAATTATAGACTATATAAATTGATATTTTAAAATTGGTAAACAAAATTAAAGTTCATCTTAATGTCACCCTTTTTTGTTTATTATAAAAATAAATATTTCTAGTTGAGTAAAAAAATATACCTATGAAAATGTTTTATATAATTAAGCTTTAATTTAAAAAAAAATACTAAAAAGTAAAAATTTTTTTTCTAACAGAAAAATAATAACATTAACCACTTTTTTCTATTTTGCGTCTGGAAGAAAGCTTATTTTAATACAAAAACCGATGCTTTAACGTGCCATTTCAACACCAATTTGGGTGCTAAAATAGAACTAGTACGATACAATTTACTTTCTAAAAGTTGGCATGAAATATTTGCAGTATTCATTGTTAATTCAACACAATTTTGAAAAATACTTGAGGCTTGACATTTCGAAAATTAAACTTTCAAACTTTGTGACATATTACCAACTACAACTTTATTACTCTTATTAGAGCGAAAGTTCTTAAATTTTGAAAAGTTGACTTTTATGTTAAAAAGGTGCGTAGAACGAGCAAAATACAAAAACCTCGGTTCACAAGTCATTTGTGAGAACCCGTTCTTTATAAAACTTGCGCTTCGCTGCTCGTTTCAATAAACCTGAACTCGTTCTACAAAACTTGCCTTACGAAACGCGTTCTTTAATATACTATTACAACACTAATATGCCTTATCCTGTTTCTATGTTACATTTAAGCTTACCAAGAGGTAACATAAGAATATTGCTGTTAAAATACAATATCTTATAGTCTATAAAATAGGCTGATGCATATTTTTTGACATTATTTTGACATACTTTTTTATATTAATTTTTGAATTCAACTCAAGATTCTGTTTCAATATTAGTGTTTGAAGACAACGCGTGTTTTATAGTATATTAAATTCTTGCTTTTTAAACTGTCTACAAAACTCTTAATAGCTATAAAAACTTAAGCTCTAAGTTAAAATGTTCGTCTCTATTTTTTATTTTTTAGTACATTAAAGAAAAGCTTATTTTTTAAAAACATCTTTTAATATACAATAATAATATATCTTTTAATTTTTATGTTTTAATTTTTCTTTAGATACTTATTGTTTTGTTCAAACACAAAGAAAATTTGTAGTTATTGAATAGAATTGAATCTGTTTCAAATAGTGATGTTGCAATTTCAACTCTTAATATTTTCTTTTCCGTGGGAGATAAAGGGTTGATTTTGCCCTTAAAAATTTAGCAACCTGTTGGATTGCAAAAATCCTAGAAACCTGTAAGGCTTTTCTATTCTATCGAATGAAGTTGGTTCCATCTTTAAATTGCAATCATAGAGGCCGAAATATTGATAATTGCTTATAACAATTGTTAATTCTTTATAAATTATTAATTAAAGTATATATAATGTATTGTCACAGGATTTACGTGTGTATGCAAAATTTCAGCTCGTCTAGACGACAGAACTGTTTCAAATTCGTCTCGCAATATTTCATGCAGATAGACAGATACGAGTAGAAAGACAGACCCACAGATAAACAGACAGACAACAGACCAAGTTAAATATAAAAGTTTACAAAGAAGCTTATAAAAATTGATAGCGGAAACGATGGAGAATTAAATACACTTCAATCTGACTTCTTAACGAAGAAGTCTACGAGGGAATTGGAAAACACTATTAAAAGTTTAGCCTATCGTGCCAGATTACAAACATATTTTTAAGCAAAAAAACGTCGATCTGAATCGTAAGAAAAACGTTTAAAACCTTTTTAAAACCTATCCATTTTTACTTTTATTTTCTTGTCTACCTTTACCTTACCTCAAATATTTAAAACTGGCGATAAAATAAACGAAAAATAGTCTGCGTGAATTGTATTGTTGGTTGCATAATATGTTAAATACAGTGTTTTAACTTTTAATTTTACAAGACTTGCGCCTAATGTATAGTAGTATTCTTTTAATTTTTCTCGTTTATCATAAAACTGTGTCAAATAACAATCCCATGCGCTACTAGTTTTGTCTTTGTTGTTACTATGCGAATGAGTGAGACAAAATGCAAACGGTCAAGCGTAGCGGGAAATAGGAGGGTCCACCAGTCGTTCTCAAACTATGAGACGCCACTAAGCTAAAATTTATTATTATTCTTATTATTATTTTAATAAATTAATAAGTCTTGTATGTTTTCAAGCCAAACAAAATGTTAATAGTCTGTTTATTTTATTAAACATCCATTCATTAATTGTCAATTTCTCTTGCTACATTTTTTAACCTATTGAGAATCATAGTTGTGTTTTGGTTGAGTGAAGTAGATAGGCGTGCTAAAGTTTGCTGTCTCTTTTAAACGACCTAAGTGCGAGAAAGACAACATACCACTGGTGGGACTAGAGAGCGGCATCACGTTTATCTTACTTGCTCCTACCTACTTACTTGAAGAGCGAGAGAGTATAGAATTCTTCTAAACATACGCAGCTAAATATTCAAAAGTCACAAAACACTAGATAGGTACAAAAATACACATTTAATTATTTAACTTTTGGAAACCCATTACAGTACCTAGTTATCAAACTAATCACTGTTTTATTAATAGTCATAAACTGCAGTTTTTCAGAAACACTTATCATTTGTTCTATATCAAGAGACGGCATGAATATGATTCTAGTTTATCTATCTTAATCACTAACTAACTAAAAATGTTGTAATTTTTGAAAGGGTGAACAAACTAGAGAAGATTATCCAATTTTTCAAATTTTGTATCAAGTTCGTATCGGAATATGTATTACTGATTGCATCTTAGAGACGCAGGCTTCGTAAAATTATGTGAAATACCCTGTATTCATTTGTTGTAAACAGTATAGTCAGGCAACCAATTATACACATTCGGTCGTATTAACGGTTATATAACAAAAAGATGTTCGGTTGTATAAACATCGGTCGCGAAAGAAAAAATTATTTTAGGTTGTGTATTTTTTTTACAAATTTTTCCAGAAAAAACTGCAAAAGATGAAACGTTCAATTGATGCAACAGATCTGCAGACATTCTTAAAAGATGGGAGTGAACCGGAGCCAAAGGGTAAGGTGTTAATAGTTGTCACAACCGTTTTTGCAATATTTACATCTGTTTCAGTAATGTTGGTTGAAAGGGAGGAAAAACCAGGGGGTATTTCTCTTGTCAACCCAAATGCTATAGCTAAAAAATCTTATACCGACTCCATGGAGCTGTCAGAAGGACTCTCAAACGTCAACACTGCAATGCATGCAAATGCTAGAAATAAATTGGACGTTATTGGAAGACAAGTAATTATTTATATTCAAATAAAATTAAAAAATAGAACCACTGTAATTTTAGATGAGAAATCTTCAAGATCTAATGTCAAACGTATTTGAGGAAACTAAACTCAGCATAGAACTTCATAATGTAGCCTGTAACTTTGTGAAGAAACCTGGACACATTTATCACTTGTATGAAAAATCCTCAGGCCAAAAATATTTAGGAATGCTATCTCCTGAAGTAATACTTTGCAAACAAAAGTGTCGCAAATTAAAAATTAATTTGTAGGAATGGCAAAACGCCCCCCACAACTACTTAGGCAGCTACATGTTGGAATCGGATTTAAATTGGACACCCGCAAGGTCAATTGATGGTAGATATGAAGGTGTGAATTTTTTAAAACAATTCTTTGGGATACCCCACTTACAAGCTTTATCATAACTGTAGGAAATAAAACGAATAAATCACTTGTAAATAACAAATGTATTTGTTAAAATTAACAAGACTATGCAACAATCTTGGCCTTGTAAAAGTTTAAAACCAGCAGTACTCACTTAAAACAACTTGAACACATCATTGGTACAAACAATAGTTACAAATTCTGTACCAACTTAAGCTGATGACTTAAACTTTATCACAAATTCATTGTCCTAAGGAAACTATTTCGGGGTGGATCGTCATTATGTTACATTTGTACGATGAGCTAAAAAATCGTTTGAAATTGCGAAATGTCACATCATGTTTACTTACAAGTTTTAGGTAACCTCAAGGATTCGTTATCTTTGATTGTAACTTCATGAGGCTGTTCCCTATAATTATAAATAATGTGTAACATTTTATCCTCTCCCATTGCTGGATCAAAAAATCCCGGTAATTGACTCTGAAATTAATTTATTAAAAAAATCTTTTAACTTTTGTATCTCACCTTTGTGTTTTCATGCAAAACGAGTTTGCTGTCTTTCACTGTACATTGAATAGGTACTGTTACGTCAATTATTTCATTGGTCACTTCGTGATCCCCAAGTTCATTGGGGTCTTTAACAAAAACATAAAAACAAAATTCACTCAAATATTATAAACTACCTGTCGAGATTTTTCCATAAATAGCCTTAATAATCACAAGACCCTTTTTATTCTCTTCCTCATCTCTAATTCTAGCATACGTCGCCTTCATGAGGTCTTGAGCTGCTAATGCTTCTCTCCGTTTCTCTAATAATTTATTGAAATTGTTTTGTTTCTGTTTTTCAACTTTTTTTGCTTTTTGCTCTTTAAGAAACGGTTCAACGAAACCTTTCTTTACTACTACATACACTACTAAGGGTATCACCGTTGCATAAAACACAGGAGACGGCATTATTTCTTCACAGAGATGAATCGGAAAGTTGTAAACCTGGTTAGCTCGCGTCAACCTACGTTATTCTTTAACAAGGAGAATTTTTTATACCGAGTTGCATACCTAATTTTTAATTTAACTCCTGATGGAACTCCAACTGTTACAGCAAACGATAAATTACTATGTTTTGACACTTTCTTTTCAGCGCCATATTCGATCACACCACCAAATGTGCCAGCCCTAATTTTTGTATCAAATTACTTAGCATTTTTTCACATCCTATACTCACTTAATCGATATTCGCAATTTCAGTTCTTGATTTATCATTTTTCTAGTATAATTTAAAGAAATATAAGAGTGAGGTAAACCAACTTGTATTGATAAGTTGTAATGATTGAATTCTGAAACCCGAATATTAAAAAACTTATTTAATTTAATAAAAATAATTACCAGTGTCTCTAACAACAGAAGTTGATACAAACGACCTGATTCCTCCGTGGTATGTCAGGTATCCAACAGAATGCTTATCAATTTGCATCGCTAAAGCTTGAATAATTTGATTAAAAATGTAAAAAAAAAACCGATGGGTAACTCACTAGACATGATCCCAGGACGAATTCCCTCGGGAGTAAATTGCAGAATAGTCCCTCCATTCCAGAAAAATCTCTTTGATAATGTTCTAAACCCTTTAAATGAAACAGAAGGGCCACTTCCTATAATAATAAATAAATCTTTGGCAGTTTTAGTGATAATTAAATACCAGCAGCCATTTCAACTTCTGCCCAACTTTTATGCGAGTAAATATGCCTCCAACTGAGGTTAACCGCGCCGCCCCCGGTGCCATTCTGTGCTTGTAGTTGCCCTGACAAAGTGCAAGTGTCTTTCTGCGTCAATGGGAAATCAACAGACTGGGAAAATTGCATTGACGAAACCTCAATATTGGGAAACCTTTGTAGCAAATCCCTACCAACATGTGGATTATTCAAATTTTACAAAGTGAAATACTAACGGTTCAAAGTCATCTTCGAAAATTTCGTCTTCGTATGGGTTAAATAAATCCGTTGCGTTGATCACGACTGTTATATTACCGTTCGGATTTGTTCTTTGTTGTTTTCTTCTTTCAGCCCTTTCTTCAGCTAGCTGTTCATACTCTGCCCGAATTTCAGCCGGCGTTTTGGTACGTTGCACAATCTCCCAACCTTCAGTTTCCAATCCTTTCATACCCAAAGAATCGTAAATAGCCCTCCTGTGGGGGTCAGAGAGGACCTCATAAGCCTTTTTGGTTTTATTAAATAAAATTTCAGCTTTAGTTTTGAGTTCAGGGTCCACATGTTTGTCAGGGTGGTACATGCGACTGAGACGTCGATAGGCATTACTGATTTCTTCTTTAGTAGCCTAAAATTAATTATTTCATTCACATGACTAGCTGCATTTTTTAGGTTAAGATCTTGAAAAGTCAAGTTTTGTTAGCAAATTTGAAGGAAAAAAAAACAGATTTATAAATACCTCTTTTGGGACATTTAAAAATGAGTAAAAATCCTCTTCTATAACATTTTCATCGTCTGAATCCAAATCCATGTTTTCGCGAGTACAAGGTTCTCAATTCCACCATGCAACTTGAATGCAATTAATGTCAGTTTTTTCTTGACAACAATCGGCCAGTAATTCACTAAAACTAATTTTTCAAGAAGTAAGACTCGCAATTAACATAATGAAATTAAAAATTCGGTGAATTTAATCAAATCTTAAATAAAAAATATTTAAATTGTTTCGGTGTCAAATAGGCAACCCGAAATACACCACAGCAATCATAGCATATCTACTTACATAATCTAAGCAGTGGTGCCACCATAATTTGGGGATTTTATTTGTTTTGTTTACAGTTGACATATCTAATAGGTTATGTGTAAGCATTTTAAAAAAAGTGTTTTAACTTAAAAACGATGTCTTCGCGATCTGACTCGGATAGCGAATCTAACAGAAGTGCAAGCCCCATCAACAACGGCCCTGCGCCAACCCCCGGTCATGGTTTGGACCGCTCCGCGTCGAACTCCCCCCAGTACACGCGATCCCAAAACGCTAGCCCTGAGAGGGCCGCTAGTCGCTCTTCCGGCAGCTCCAGTGCAAGGTCTCGCTCACCCTCCGTCGAGTCTAACAAATCCACCGCATCGCAGAGAACAGCCGCTTCAAACACTTCGAGGAAGTCAAGATCTAGAAGTGTAGCTTCTAATAGGTCTCGGGGGTCACAGAGTCCCGAATCGAACAGATCTGGATCGGCAGGCTCGCAAAAAACGCAAAGGTCGGGCTCGAATCGCTCAGAGTCGCCTCCTGGCTCCCGTAGGTCTAGATCGAGTAGTGCAGGATCGAAAAAATCGAGGTCTAGGTCGGGGAGTGCAGGATCGAAAAAATCGAGGTCTAGGTCGGGGAGTGCAGGATCGAAAAAATCGAGGTCTAGGTCGGGGAGTGCGGCGAGTAATAAGTCGGGGAGTGCTGCGAGCAGTAAATCGAGGTCTAGGTCAGGGAGTGCGGCTTCCAATAGGTCCAAGTCGGCGGAGTCAAACAGGTCGAAAAGTGCAGAGTCAAATAGATCACGGAGGTCTCGCTCACAGTCGCAGGAGAAAAGAGCCGAATCGCAAGATCGCAGCAGGTCTAATAGCCCGAATTTGCAAATTGACGAACCTGGGTCACCTGACAGTGGCAAAGGGGATAAAAGGAAAAGAGACAGTTCTGAAGAGAGGGCTACAAAAAAGAAACACCGGATTATTGATTCTGACAGTGAGGGCGAAGAAGGAAAAGAAAATGACAAAGGTAAGAATCTCGTACAAATTTCAGACTCCCAGATCAGTTGTTTTTTGTAGAGGTCAGTGCTGCTGCCATTTTTGGAGATGACGCCGATGACATTAGCAGCGAAGAAGAAAAAGAAAAAGCCGAGTCCGAAAAAGAAGCACAAGTCAGTGAAGAAGAGCAACACCATTCAGAGATAGAAAATGAGCAAAGACAACCCGATGAAGTAACAGTAACAACAGTTATTATTTTCGTTCTGAAATATTAAGTAATAATTATTTCAGGATGAAGATAAAGAAAATGAACCGGAACAAATCCCAGAGACGCGAATTGACGTCGAAATACCCAAAATCAGTTGCGACTTAGGCCGCGACATTCATTTTGTAAAACTTCCCAATTTCCTTTCAGTCGAAACGCGACCTTTCGATCCTGAAACGTATGAAGATGAAATCGATGAAGAAGAAACCCTAGATGAAGAAGGTCGAGCCCGCTTGAAATTGAAGGTGGAAAATACGATAAGGTGGCGAGAAAACATGGACAAAGAGGGGAATGTGAAAAAAGAGTCAAATGCGAGACTCGTGAGATGGTCAGATGGTTCCTATAGTCTACATTTAGGTTCTGAAATTTTTGACGTCTACAAACAACCACTCCAGGTTACATTTCAAAAATTTTTTCTTCAAAAAATTGAATTGCATTTTTTTAAGGGTGATCACAATCACTTGTTCATCAGACAGGGGACGGGTCTCCAAGGCCAGGCGGTATTTAGGACCAAACTGAGCTTCAGGCCACATTCTACTGAGAGTTTCACACACAGGAAAATGACTTTGTCGCTTGCAGACCGGTCGCAGAAAACTTCTGGGATTAAAATTCTGTCTCAAGTCGGAGCTGATCCCGACCATGACAGGAAACTTCTTTTGAAGGTGATTTTTGCAATTTTCAAGATTGTTTTTTATTTCTTGTTTGTAGAAAGAAGAGGAAAAGTTGCGTCAAACTGTACGTGTGAGTAAACCTCGGCGAAAAGGTGACAGTGGGACGAGGTTGCATAATAGTAGCGTGTACAGAGAAGAGGATGGGAGTGATGAAGAAGGGGCTATTTCACTTAATGCAATTAAGAATAAGTACAAGTCGGGGGCTGCGACAGTGGCTAAAGGTAGGTTGACTCTTTTGTAAAGTGAAGAAATAAAATGATATTTTTCCCTAGGTGGAGCCATCTATTCTTCAGATGAAGAAGGATCAGATATAGAAGCTAGGAGAGCAAGGAAAATTGACAAAGCAAAAGCATTGAAGGATTCAGAATCAAGTGAAGAAAGCGAATAAATATCAAAAATGTATTTGTATTACATATTTATAAAGAATAATTATGGCGTAAGTAATACTGAAGCATCCACTTTTGTAAATACATTTATACAGAGTGTTCCGTTTTTATTGTTACAAATTTAAACAGGTGATAGGATATTCAATTCTAAGACAAAAGTTTCCTATAAACATGTATCGAAAAATGCTTGGTAAGGGAGCTACACCCCCTGAAAGGGGGCTAATAGGTTTTTGCTAATATTTCAGAAACCATTTAACATAAAATTACAAAATTTGGTACAGATGATAACCTTTATACACCTAAACGAATTCAAACAACAGGGGTTTAGGGTAAAAAAATACCCTATCTATTTTGGCTTTAGTATCTATAGTTATGCATTGACCAAAATGGTGGTCACTTTGAACAACTCCTTTAGATTTAGGCAAATTCATTTAATTAATGTTATTATTGTTACTGTAATGCAATGTTAATTAGTTGAGGTTGATTAAAAAATATGAATTTCTTGCTTTTATTATTCTGTAAATTCTGATTTATTTGAATGTTGTATTTTTGTGTAACATAAATTTTAAATTAATTTTATTCAAAAACAATAAGTCGTATCGACACAAGAGAGACTTTTCTGTGATAAACTATCGAACTTAATATTTTGTTGCTGAAAGTACCGAGAAACTAAAGCCAAAATAAATAGGGTATTTTTTTACCTTAAACTCCCCCAGTTTCGTACGCCCCTGATTAAAAATTTCGACAATTGATGTTTGAATTCGTTTAGGTGTATAAAGGTTATCATCTGTACCAAATTTTGTAATTTTATCGTAAATGGTTTCTGAAATATTAGCAAAAACATATTAACCCCCTTCCAGAGGGTGTACCTCCCTTACCAAGCATTTTTCGATACATGTTTATAGGAGACTTTTGTCCTAGAATTGAATATCCCATCACCTGTTTAAATTTGTAACAATAAAAACGAAACACCCCGTATATCCTAAAAATGTCAAAAAGTTCACATTTAAAATTTAAATTAAAAATGCTTACCATTTTTTTAAACGGAATAGTTACAAAAAAAAAGGAGAAACATGTTTTAGTACATGAGATCAAATAGAAACAATTAATTTTTTTGCAACAAAGTAAAAATAAACGATCTCAATCACGACTCTTTATTGCAGAGAAAACTTAAAGGGCACTAAGGATAAACAAATGAAAACAAAATTTGAAATTTACTCAAAACTGAATCATTGCTTGGGTCTATGAACCTTCATGTGAGTGGCCAAAGTGCCACTCTGAGCAAACGCCTGTCCACACACACTACACACATACGGCCTTTCCCCCGTATGCGTCCTTATATGCTTCTTAAGCGTCCCTTTAACGGCGAAACTCCTCCCACATTCATTACACGAAAACGGTTTTTCCCCGCTGTGTATCCTCATATGTATGACAAGTCTCCCACTTTGATTAAACCGGCGATGGCAAACTTGACATTCCACCGGTTTTTCCCCGGTATGTGTCCTAATGTGCGCCGACAAATACCCCGACTGTGGAAAATCTTTGCCGCAAATTTTACAAACGTGTGGTCTTTCGCCTGTGTGGATTCGTATGTGGGTCATGAGAGTCCCGGGGGCGGCGAAACTCTTGTCGCACATTTGGCACTTGTATGGCTTTTCACCAGTGTGTATGAAGGAGTGTATTTTGAGGTATGACAATTGCCCGAAGCCTTTGCCACAGACGTTACACAGATAGGGTCTCTCCCCAGTGTGTGTTAGTAGATGGCGTTCTAAATTGCTGTGGAATCTGAAAGTTTTGTTGCAAACATCACAAGTGCGAGGTAGATTGCGTTTTTTGGTTATTCCAGTTCTCTTTCTTGTGCGTTTTGGTTTGGGTTCGTTTTCAACATGGCATGAAGATTTGTGTTCTTCTAGTAAATATGGGGTCTTGCACCTGGGAAATACAAATCGTAGAATGGCAATTAGAGTTTAAAACAAACTTACTCTTTGTCACAAAAGTCACATTTTAACTTTGTTCCATGCACATTATTCATGTGCTTCCAATATGAAGCTAGCCCCAAACACTCTTCATTGCATTCTTTGCATTTGTATGAACGTTTCCGCCTTTCACTTTCTCGCGTTTTTGTGTTATTTTCAACATCTTCCTAAAATTATTTCTAGCGTGATTATAAATGAAAATTTGGTCCAATTTACATACCTTTAAATTTCTTTCAAAATTATCTTCATTACTTGTATCGTCTGAAGTTTCATTTGATAGTAAAGTATCATCTCCCCAATCAGTTTGATTCTCTTCAACCAAGTCTTCATTTATATTTGGCTTAATGTCTTCAATTTCATCACTAGTTTGTACTATAACAGGTTTTAGATTATTTAAACAATTCCTTAGGGTTGTGTCTGACTTTTCGCACATTTTCCTGAATGAAAACGCTTTACGCAATTCCTCAATACAATTCACACAAATACTATCGGGCAAACCGTCATTTTTTATTATCTAAAATTTATTTTATCACTATAAGGAGCTTAATCAATGAGAAAGAGAATTACCATTATTGGAGCACATGCCATTAACATGTCACAAAGAGTCATTTCTTGATCGAAGGCTTCTTCCGTATTGAAAATTGGTTTTAAGTTCATATTTTGAGACATACAAGTTCTACAAACGCTGGAATAATTCTTAAAATTCATTTTTAGGGAAATCTAGACATAAATAAATTTGTCAACAATCAATGACATAACCTAGAAATCGAACTACTGACAAGTGACAGAAAGAAATGACAGTTGTTACCAGTGGCGTCTCGTTTAGGTTTTGTGCCCTATTTTACTACCCTGCGATCAAAAAAAAATTAATTAAAGTAGGCGGTGGTTAAAGTCCTTCAGATGGCAATCCTGATTTTTGACATCAAATGTCAGCGAAAACTTGACAAGTTTACGTTTTATTCATTTTGAGTGAAATTATGTTCACTTTAGAGCAGAAAATTTTTATTGTTGCAAGTTATTACAAAAATGCTGTACAAAACGAAAACGGTGAATGGTCATTTTCACTTTTAGTTTGTGTGGAAACTTTCCAGCCTAGATTCCCAGCCAATGTGTTGCCAACTGTAGAATTAAATCGACGCCTACTCTAATTTTTTTTTGATCGCACGGTATTTTTAAACTTATCATTTGAATATTTGATGTTAAAAAATAGAGTCTTTCAAACTGTAATTTAAAATTTAAATATCCGTGTTATGATTCAATGATTAGGTCAAAAGAAGAAAAAGATAAACAAAACAATATGCATTTAATGACTGAAAATTAACTGACTTACACAAATATTACATAACTCATAAACACATAACAAGATTTACATGGTAAGTACCCTAAAAACTTACGATAATTTTAAAATAAAAAAGTATCACGCTCTGATTTGTAAGGCACAGTATAATTAAAATTGTTAAAAAACACAATAACGATAAGTTGTACTTCAAGATTAGTCATAAAATTTAGATACATTATGAGTTGTAAGTGTTACAACACTTCATAAGGCAGCATCTTGCATTGCACCGTTGATATATTCCAATTTTTAAAAAAACACACAAGCAATGAACCTTAACTCTTTTAAAAAATCGTACTTAATCAAATTAAGTCTGGCGGAAGACTTTTAAAAAAATTCAAGCATCTATGAAGCCCGTATAAGTTTCACTTAAAACAATCGGTTTGCACTGTGTATCACGAACACGAAGTTTCTGAGCAAATGTTATCTTGGTTGCTTCTACTCTACTGCGCATTTTTAGACAGAACCATTTGTCTCACTTCTTCTGGCAGCTTTTCAGGCTCGGACAAGATTTCTGTCTTGGTACTCAGGTACTTTAGGGAATTCAGGACCACTGAAAATTGTATTTTATAAAAAAAAAACATTTTTTTTAATGCAAATTACCTGGGCGAAGGTCTACAAGTGTACAGTGTTGTTCTATCCACAAAATTGTGGATCTATAAAGATCATCTAAACTAGACGTAGACACGAAACTGTTAAACGAATCTAAAAGTGGCCTAAAGAGTAGACTAAACTGAAAAAAGGATTAAGAAAAAATCAACGATGAAAGTACGTAAAACATCAAGTAACAAAGGATACAATCCAGTATTTCCAATTTTCCATTGTCCGTTTTCTGACATATTCATCGAACATTTCCTGCATTTTACTGTCTCTACGACGTGAAACCGGCGCTCCGGTCGCAGGTAACATAGATTGGCAATTACTGAAAACACTTATCAGACATTTGAAAGTAATTAAAAACCGTACCTTATGGAAGTATTCAATGTTTCGATTTGTTGCCTCAAACACTCCATTTCTTCATTCAATTGATTTCTTTCAGATCTCAGCTGCCTGATATACTCTGCACCCTTCTGAAGCATCGCTGCTTTACTTAACTAAAAAGAGAATCACGAAAATTCAGCAAAACTCTTGACTTTTTGTTACCTTAGCGTTCGGATTCTGATTAAGATGTGGTATAAGAGAATGAATCATATCAAACCCGTTTTTGATATTGTATCGTCTTTTTTGTTCGGCGTGTATATGGCCCACCCTCCTTTGATCTCTGTGAGGATTGTCTCGATTAGGCGAGCCCATTGAACCCTGTGATGAGGTAGGCGAATTGATATTCTGAGAGCCGTCCAAAACTGGACTATTTGAACTACTGAATGAACTATTCAACATCAACTACAAAATCACGATTTAGCAATATGTAAAAATCGAAATTCCGGCGGCTTACTGGATCGGTCGATGGCGACTGAACAATATTTACAGGAGTTGTGATGATTAGAGTCGACGATACAGGCGGAGGTTGAGGCAAAATTGGTATGGGACTATTTTCCTCCTTAATACGGACCTGATCATGGGCCGAAATAAGACTCTGACTTCGTGCAAATATATCATTGTCAGTGCCTGTTTTAAAAATCACAATAAGACGAAAAACACAGTTTTTGAAGATTCTTACTATTCGTTAAAAGTTGTGTGAGCAATGAAGGATCACTAACGGCAGAGATTAAAGGGGGCCGTCTGATCGGCTCTCGGGTGTTTGAACGAGATCTTTGCCGGCCTCGGGGGGCCCCTCGCATCCGAGTTTCAGACTTCTCTTCTTTCTATTAACAATAAACCCACTCTGTATTTATTCATTCATATTTTGTTGTTTGTTTTTGTTAGTAGAGGAAAATACGGAAAATTAAATAAAAACGAAATAAACTTACAGAAAAAGAATGGCTAGTGTTGTACTGAGAGTGTGCAGGATGTATAGAATGCATCATGTGGGGTACCTGTGATGTGAATTTAATGTTGGGTACCGCCGGTGTTGTAAATTTATAACCGGGAGATTGTCTCTGTTCCGGCGACTGCTGAGGCAGTTTGAATTGTTGAATTTCCGGTTGTTGCGCTTGTTGTTGAATTATTTGTTGCTGTTGGCGTTGCAACGTTTGTTGTTGGAGAGGATCTTGCAGAGGCACTGGACATAATAATAGTTTCATTGGGAAATAAGGAGAATTAGAAAAATATGAGATAAATTTTATTGTCACGTAAATTTAATGGTAAATTTGTTTCTGTAACGGTCGTCATTCATATCTGTCAATTCTTAACCTTGCCAATGTTCTTATCTTACTCTTATCATCGTGGAAATTTTGATGAAATAATATTAGAATAAAACAAATCCGATTAGAATTTATTTGAACTTCTTAATTAGGTTCTTGTCCGATTCTTTTTTTCCAGTGACATCATAAGAAATAATAAAGTCAATAAAGTCAACTTGAGAGTTCAATCACTTATAAATAACTTTTGCATAAAACCGTAACTTCAAAGTTAATTTTTCAAATAAATTGTTAACTCTAGACAAATTAGTATCTTTGGTGTTTATAGGAATCTTCACCTTGTGTACTCTTCATTTTTTACACTCATATTTGGATGTATATAAAGCTAAAAACTTTTTTTTGTATCTTTCATCTACATTACCTTTTAGTCCGCTTTTCGATCTTACTTTTTTATTATAGAGGCAAATTTTTATTAGGGCCCATTTTTACTCACTTTGTATCCGTTCGTTGAGACACATGGTATTATTCTGTTGCAGATTTTGTTCGGGAAAACTCGTATACACATTACTAACAGACTTGTTGTAGATATTCGTATGAAGATGGCTTTGGTTTAACTTAACATGAGTCGGCGATGCATTCTTATGGCTTTTGGTGTTTTTCGAGATCACAGAAGAATGGTACGTTGTTTGTACCTGAGGTACATATTGATTAATCATCGAGTTGTAAATTGTCGCTTCAGAAGTCACTGGACTTTCCTGCTGCAACGGCTTTTCTATCGGCATTTGAGACACGCTCAAATTTTGCTGATATTGAGGAGGATTGTGAACGGTATTCATCTACAATTTTGTTAAAATTACAAGTCACTATTTGTGCCGATTCAAATTCGAATATAATCACTTGTAAATTTGAGCTTGATTGCATCAAATCCAACTCGGAATAGTTCCACGTGGTGTTTTGCGTTTGTTCTTCGGGAACTGTTGGAAGCTTACACGACATGAATTCTGTCACAAAAAATATTATAAATGCTAAAACGAATTTACATTAATGAACAGAGACCTTGAAGAGGCTCAAATGTGTCCATGTAATCGTCGAGATTGGGTTGGAGGGGCCCTAGACTAGGTTGGATGAAATCGGCAAGTCCGGCTTTAGCTACACGACAAATAAATAACTGCTAAAATTGATTGAACTCGAAAATACTTCGAATGACTACCTATCTCCCTCGAATCGGGGAAAACAAATGGGACATTCGTGATGGTGGAAAATAGTGTGTCGCTCATTAGGCCCATGTAGTCTTCGTCAACCATCATGTGCATATTTTCGGTGCTTTGAGAGTAACAAGTTAGCAAATCGACGTCGCTGAGCTAAATAAAAAAAAATGTTTTACTGTTTTTATTTCTATTAAGATTTTACCATTTCTACGTCGTCTCTGGAGGAATGTCCAAGGGCATGGTTTCGGTAAAACAAACGCCATTTTTTGTACTCTGCTGTTACAGCCGCCAACTTCCGCTTCCAATATTTGCCTTCTAGTACAACGGCCTAAAAATTATTCATTCAAAAATTGAACTGTAAATTTAAATTAATCGCATTTGTGGCCGTAATAATTAAATATTAAATTAACACTTCCTGTTTAAAACTCATGTATTGATTCTAGAAAAAAAAAGTTTAAATCTGCTCGATCAATCAATCTATTAAGTACATATTTTAATATGTACAACTATTAAAACTTTGATAAGATAAGTTCTTTTTTAATATTTTGTTATAGCAATTACTAATAAAAAATTACAGAAATTAGAAAATTGGAGGATAAATAAATTTAAAATAAATAAATATCAGAAGGCATCCATTCAAGTAAAATATTGAAATTCCGAGTTGAGGGAAAAACAATTGTAAGGATGACCTTTTATAACAAGTATACAGGATGCGCCAGAACTCGCCCCTCAGAGGAAAATACCAATTGACATTTGCATTTGTGTGTAATCTAAAAATACGAGTACATTTTTCAGTACGCTACCAAAAACTCCGGAAATTGGTAAGAATATTGAAGGCAATTTACTTCCAACAAAATTATCACCAACATTAAAAACATAAAATACACTAAGCTGTTAACGCACTCAAACGAGTGTAATAGAAAAATGTTTCTTTTGTCAGACGAGTATTACAAAAATTTGTAATTTATAAAAAAACAGATAGAAAAAAAGCTTAGGAAACGCAAGAAAATAACATATGTATTCCTAAAAATGTAGGTATTTTAGGTAAATATCAAAATAATTATTTATGCAAAGTAATTTATCTGTATTCGTTTTAAGAATATGTTTGGTATACGTTCCCAAAAATAACTGTTTTACAAAGTCCCTAAAATGAGTTTTCAGACTCAATATAAAATACGTAAAATAGTTATTTTAGGTACAATTTTCAGTAGAAAAAAATAGTTTTTGGGTCATTTTAGGGACCTTAAATGAATCCGTAAAATAGCTATTTTTAGCATATACAAAAAATAACTAAAAATGTGAAAAAAGTTTTGAAGACAATGTTGCTTATTTTATATATTCGTTTATTGTTTAAAAATTATATTTTTTTCACAAATGCTCAACATTATGAACATAACTGAATTATTTTTGCTACTCGTTAAAGCGAGAACTAATATGTTTATGAATTTTTAGTACTTACGATAGTCTTTAATATTTGGTGAAAATATTAAATAGGTACACATTAATAAAATATTTAGTACCGTGCGATCAAAAAATTAATAAATTAGAGTAGGCGTCGATTAAATTCTACAGTTGGCAACACATTGGCTGGGAATCTGGGCTGGAAATTTTCCACACAAACTGAAAGTAAAAATGACCATTCACCGTTTTCGTTTTGTACAGCAATTGTAATAACTTGCAACAATAACAATTTTCTGCTCTAAAGTGAACTTTATTTTACTCAAAATGAATAAAACGTAAACTTGTCAAAGTTTTCGCTGACATTTGATGTCAAAAATCAGGATTGCCATCTGAAGGACTTTAACCACCGCCTACTTTAATTAATTTTTTTTTTGAACCCAGGGTAGTAAAATAGGGCACAAAACCTAAACGAGACGCCACTGGTAACAACCGTCATTTCTTTCGGCTGACATTTATTTGATGTTAAAAATCAGGATTACCATCTGAAGGACTTTAATAAATCACCGCCTACTCTATGTTATTTTTTTTTGATCGCACGGTAGTTTTCTAATTGTAACTTAACTTATACAGGGTGCGCCAGAACTCGCGCCCCAGAGAAAAATGCCACATAAGATACCAGGAACATGAAAAAAATGTTAAAAAAATTTTATCTATAAAAATTTCGAAGTTATGAGGGTTTAAAGTTTGCACTTTGACTCTATTTATTTCTGTTGGAAAAATAATTTTCCAAGTTTTTTTGCTATAGGCAATTAAAAGAGGAAACAAGGAAGCTGTATCCTAAATTGTAACTCTGTTCAATGTTATTTGTGGTTCTTATTGGCAAAATTTTTGTCCCTTTACTAAATAATTGTAAAAAAACATAAAAGATTTTTTAAACATTTTTTTCATGTTCCTGGTATCTTACCTTACTTGAAAATTTTCTCTGGAGCGCGAGTTCTGGCGCACCCAGTGTAAAAAAAAATAATAAAACTCATCTCTGTCCAGTTCTTCAAAATTATTTACGATATTTTTTGGTTACACAAGTAAAAAAAAAATGTTAATTACATAATTATTTAGAGGTCAAAAGCCATGCAATATTTTTTTTTTACTAAACTCAAAGAAAAAATAAAGAATACTAGACAATAAAAATAAACTAGCAATCAAGTGATTAAGAATAAATATTCTATAGTGAAAGAATGCAGAAAAATGAATCGCGGAATTTTTACCCCAAGCCTACAACGTTATCTGATGGATTTGTTGGATTTGTAACTTGCTTTATGTTTTTAATTCAAGATTGACGCAAGCGTAATTAATGTACATTTCAATACCGCGCAAAAATGAAATTTACACGTGCATAAATACGACATCAAATAAAGATGTTAATTTTATTATTGTTTTGTTTTTCTCAATTTTAAATTAGAAATTTTTATAGGATAAAGAAAGATAAAAATATTCCACAAACAATTTAGTTGAAAAAACTGGTGATTGTTAGTGTGAGTAATTAATAAATTCAGTATTTATTGGAAGCGTAATCTATACAACCTGCGAGATTTAGATTTGATAAGGTTCATTTGCATGTTATCATCATAAACTTCCAATATAAATTTAACCTTGCACTGGCGCAAAACATTATCAAAAGTCCCAACTTCCCAAATTGTTTGTCAGATAGCAAAATCATCCAAATCCAAACAAAGATAAACATTGTTAACAATGGATCCCGTTTGGAATTTTTAGCAAAATTGTGTATTTACCTCAGGCTTATTATGTGTGTCTACATCCAAAGGAGACGCAAACTGGCAAATTAACGTATTTGCCTTCTTGATAACTGCAACAAGCACACTTAACACAGCATCAACAGATTAAAAATAACCTACACTGCAAATGCCAGCACCGCCAAATAACGTTGTTAAGCCTTATTTTGTCCTTCCATGTTAGTCTGATTCCGCGGAATCGGTTCCATTTCGGCGACGTCAACTTTTGCCTAAAAATGCGGTCTTAACGCTGGACCAATCGGAGACAAGACAACCCACCTGTAGGCCAAAGACATGCACTGGAACAGCTTGGACAGACTGGTGTCGATGGACAGCTGCTGCTGGTGGTTCTTGTTGATGTCTCTGGAGCCATGGAACTGCTTGACGGGGACGATGGAGGTGGCTGTCTCTGCCACTTCTGGGATTGGCACCGCGACTTCGTCTTCGTCATCTTGCTCCTCGGCCTCGAAGGTCGACACCATAAACTGGCCAGAGTGTATTGCCTCTCGCTCGCGTTTCACTTGTGTTTCCAAAGGCTGCACGGCTTGCATCTTTCGTAAATAACGCGAGCACAATATTGGAGACGGTTGAGGGCAACGATGCACACGAGCGACTACACGAGATGTCGTTATCAAATACAGAAAGATCAAGGACTGATTAGAAGGGTCATCCGTTAAATACGAAACATCGCATTGAATTTTATATACTTTTCCATAAATAACTACGCTGATAACTTGACACATGTGTGGAGTTCGGAGTTATGACATATCGAGAATCACTATCTACCAACTGTAGCAATTATCACTGGATTTAAACAGAACACGTTTAATCTGGATAATCTGGAAGTTGGCGCAAATCTAACCCAAGAGTATTACGTTAGCATAAATCTGTTATTGTTTTTTTCAATAATACAAGTGAAATTAATAATTCAAGATTTGGTTATTTAGGGATTTTGTGTGTTGACAGTTTGTTGTTTATGCAAAGCATATGAACGACAGGAACAACCTTGAATTTAATACGCTTACGTTTGAAGACAACACGAAAACAAATTAATTAAAAAAGTATCTTTTTGTGTTGAGATAAAGCATTGTTTATTTTCTGGTTAACAAGTCCATAACTATTTTTAAAATAAACTCAAGTGACAAGACATGAATTTATAACTTAATTTCGTGAGAAAAACTATTTTAACACTTTTTCTAATTTAGTTTTGTAATAGTAAGTATATTAAATACAAGTTACAGAAGGTTCAAGCATGAAGCAAGTCCGTCACTAACGCCGCCGACTTATTAGTTATTAAAGCACTCAAATGACGTCATTTGGGTGTTTTAATAAACTTATTCAAAACGCAAAATAGAAAAAATATTTTATCTAGCATCACAAAAAAACATATGTTCATACTTTTATGTGTACAAATTTTAAGCGCACATAATTAAAAAAATACCGAGTGTCCCACGAGTAATAATGAGCCTGAAATTTTTTTTGAAGCAACCAACATTACATTTCAAAGATAACGTGGATATTAAAATATTTACTTTTAATAAATTAAACATAGTGACCAAACAGCACTTCAACTTTAATTTATAAAATGTCAAATTTTGGAGAATTTGGTGGGAATTACTTAAATGTTGCTGAAAAGACCAACAAGATTCTCATTTATGAAAAACTTTTCGCAGACTGCACGTTTCTATCCAGCGCGACATCCAAATAGACGGACTTCCTAAAACTGGAGTAGTCATTTTGACTGAGAAATTTGTCAAAAGTAAAAATATGATTACTATATGCTTAACTAATGAAAACGAAATATTTTAATATCCACGTTATCTATGAATTGTAATGTTGGTTGCTTCAAAAAAAATTTCAGGCTCATTATTACTCGTAATTCTGTATATTGAATGTAAAATTCGTAGCTTTATCTGCTGTTGATAAACTTGAAGTTTTTATGTCAAATGCGTATGTAAAGTCGCGGTCAATTCATTTATTGAGCATTTAATTTATTGCAAAGTTGGCAGTCTCTAGCCCGCCACCTCTAGTGTGTGGGTTGCATTCATGTTAGCAGTAATTGGATGTTTAAACTCGGATTAAAACAACCCGATTTTTACAAATTTACACAGGAAGTGGCTACAATGACTTGACCGCGACTTTATATCGGCAAATAAAATATAAATTTTGTAACCGTTACATCACAGAATATGTATGTACAGTGGCGGACACGGAATGATGGACATCAAATTTAAGTCAGTTTAAAAAATGTCAATGTAAATCACGCTTTATTGTCATTATGATGGACGTTTGAAACTAGAATTTGAAATTTTCAGTTGAAATTTATTTTTGGCCAGCAATACGTGTTTTTTATACAGGTTACGCCAGAACTCGCCCTCCAAAAAAAATGCCATATAAGGTAAGATACCAGGAACATGGAAAAAATGTTAAAAAAATTTTATCTATAAAAATTTCGAAGTTATGAGGATTTAAAGTTTGCACTTTGACTCTATTTATTTCTGTTGGAAAAATAATTTTCCAAGTTTTTTTGCTATATGCAGTTAAAAGAGGAAACAAGGAAGCTGTATCCTAAATTGTAACTCTGTTCAATGTTATTTGTGGCTTTTATTGGCAAAATTTTTGTCCCTTTACTAAATAATTGTAAAAAAATATATAAAAGATTTTTTAAACATTTTTTTTTTATGTTCCTGGTATCCTACCTTATTTGAAAATTTTCTCTGGGGCGCGAGTTCTGGCACCCTGTATAAAAAAGTTCAATAAATTATTTTGATTTGTTGTCATTTTTCTCTACATATCAGAATAATATTATTTGAATGCTACAAATGAATAAAATAGAAGAAATAAATTAAATGTAGATAGAAAAATATTTATTTTCAAAATAACAGGTTGAAGAATATCTGTATCAAGAAACAAAACTAGGTATGATGTTTGAGTTGATGTAATTCACTCAATTAAATATGAAAAATAGTTAAAACTAGATAACATACATTCAGTTCCTTAAAGTATTTGGAATCGTAGTGGAAGGCTTGGGGATATTTAACATTTATAAAATAATAAATCATACTGATGCAAAAAGTTCCGTAAAAACTAATACTTTTTTGACAATACAAAACTTTGGCATAAATCATAATCTGTAACAATTTGTAAAACGTTATAAAAATTAACCGTTATAAATAAGTCTTTTATTTACACAATAAATAACTTAATAAATTAACAATTTTCTACGAAAACTTGGAGACTATTTATTTTTGTTTTCTCTTACTGGGTCTACCACATGATTAGCAGTAACAGTCTCGCTACTTCTAACCGTTATGACAGTCAGTAAATCTTTAAGAAAACTCAATTTATTCTTAATAAAATTCACTAAACTGCAAACAATTTCACTTGGTGTTTCATATTCGTTAGGTACAATGCCATCGACGCTTGACTCAAAGTACGAAAACAACGGAAACCAAACTTTCGTCCTTGTGGAATCTCTTTGCATGAGCGCTTGATTATTAGATAAAGTATGATAATACAAAAATAATCGACTACTAATATAAAACGCTACGAAGACATCGATGGAGTAGTGTTCATGAGCAGCTAAGATGAAGAAAATTCCAAACATGTTCATCATCCACGAGAGCGTATGGAGGTAATAAATGTGGCGTGGAGTGTCTGTAATGTTTCATTGAATTATTTAGTAACAAAAGTAGAAAAAAATGTTACATTCAGTTATGAAAAAATTCAACATGGTTAATGCCACAGTATGGCCACTAAACATGTAGTCGCCACAGGTCCGGACTCCTTGGATTGACATACCGGCGCCCCGCCATATGACGTATGCCTGAGATAGTTTTGTGGCCAAGTCGCCGAAGAGAGAAGAGCTTTGTGTAGGGTAGTTTCGGGGGGTGCACTGGAGATGGGCTCCTGGAACGCTGAGGGACGTTATGAGCATAGTAACGCAACGGAGCAGGAAAACTGTCCCAGAGAGCGCAAAAAATCGACGCATTAAAATGAATCTGCAAAAAAATTAATTAACCAACGAATAAATAACCAAAATCCAGTGGTGAAGAAAATTTTACACAATTATTGCAATCCTAAAAAATAATGACATCAGCACAGGGTCAACCTCCTATAGAAAAATCATTTTCCTAAGACCTACTAAAAATTTTATTACTTTTAAGTTCAATCCGGTATTGTTAAGAGTAAACCAGAGGGTAAACAAATCATAAATTAGTGCAACCCACCCGGACCCAGAAACCAAGGAAACAGGTCAGTTTTTAACAGGGCCGGATTATTTACTTCCTTTTTGTCTAAAATACTTGAAATATTTTTATAGTTTTTGATGTAGTCAAGTATTTTAAGAAATTTAAAAAAGCCAGGTGGTTATTAACAAGTTATTATTAAACAAAGCCGATTTTTTTTTAATAATAGCTTGGTAAAACTCTACCACTACTTTGATTTTAAATACGGCCCTGTTTTATTCTGGTGGGTGCAGCAACACTTGCAAAGGAACGTGCCATTTATGTTTTAGAGGTGGGTAAATACCGATAATGAACGGTATTACATTAATAGTAATAACGGGTGTTTTTTTTTTTAATTTGACATCAAAGCTATCCATGAAAGTTCGATTGTGAACGAACCATCGTATTATTGACATTTGACACCTCGTCGGGCCTATTAAAATTGTGGTCCGTTCACAACACACACATATCACCGCCAACCATGATGCCAAATTTAAATAAACACCTGTCATATCTAGAATATTACTAACAGAATTCTTCTAAATGCAATTAAGGCAAAATTATATTTGATTTGTATTTTCTGTTAAAAAGACTTAAACTTTCTCATTAAAATCACCAGAATAACCCCACCTCTAATTCTTTTGCCTTTGCCAAAACTGTCAAAACAACAAATGCGCTTATTTCATACTAAATAAATACTACCGGTAATAGGGTAAATTTTAACACTTTTTCCTTTTTCTTTGTAGTTTCCATGTTATTTTAATAAATATGTATTTCATATTAGGTATGAAATTAGAAAATTCCTTTAATAGATGCAGAAATAAAAAATGACAAAACCTCATTTACGATAATAATAAAATGATACTTCCAACTTAAGTTAATAACTCAGGTAAGTGATTAATTACAGTAAGACTTGTGGCACATCAAATGAAAACTATTTTAACAAGCTTTTCAAGACTTTTTACCAAAATTGAATTAAACCATCCATTCATGAGATACTAGATGTTCTAAAAAAACAAACCTCCCTAAAAAAAAACTCAAAACAGATTGATTTTGTTTTTAAAAAGCATATTTTTTGACACAATTTTAAAAGCCATCCTATTAAACCTTTAAGTTCTCCCACCTCCATTCCGTAATCTCAAATGATACCGACTCACTTAAAATGTTCTTTGAATATTTTTTCTAAAGTTGAATGGGATTAATTATTCGTAAAATATCTGCTAAAGATAATGTTTCTAATTAGTAATTACTTCTAATAAAAACTATATTACTATAAAATAAATTACAAGAAACTTACTAATGTTGTTATAATTATTATTGGAAACTTATTTTCGTTTCCTTATTAAGTGATAAAGAAAAAGGAATGTACAACCTAAAAAATAGCAATAGTTCTTGAGTTCCTCTGCACATACTGACTGCGGAAAGATTATTTTTTGTCGATATTTTAAGAATGCATAGAAATCATTTCATTTTGGAAAAAAGCATTTTAAACTGTTTTCATTTTATGTATCACTAGTGTGTTAGTGCTATTTGACATTTTAGAGTTAAGGTTAAAGAGTTAGAGGGGATGCTTTTAAAATTGCGTAAAAAATGTCCCTCTTAAAAACAAAATTATGGTGGTTTGTTTTTATTAAAATACTCTATATCTCATGAATGGATGGTCTGATTCAATTTTGGTAAAAAGTTTAGAAAAACTTGTTTAAATAGCTTTCATTTGAGGTGCCACAAGTGGGGTAGTGCCATTAAAATTTTTATAGTTGGGGTGTGTGGGGTTTACAGAGTTACTAGGGGGTGCTTTAAAAATTACGACAAAGAATGTCCCTCTCGAAAACAAAATTGACCTGTTTCGGCGTTTTTGCAAAGACTTTTTAGTTTCTGAGACATTCGAGGTGGCTCGTTTTCATTGGGCTACCCAGTATTATTATCTCTCGTTTTCACCCCTTGAAAATAACTCATATTTGTTTTTTGTGGAACGTGGTAATCATGCACGAGTTTACGATACGATATGTGTGCATACGTAAGAAACGGAGGTTCAAAAGTCATGAAAATATCCTCGATTGTACTTTTTTACACCTCCTGAAAGCCTGTACATGACGGTGATATCTGTTTTCTTTGAGAAGTCTCCAATTATGAAAAAAAATTAAATTAATTTATTAATAACACGTGTAAAATCGACTTTTGCATATTATTTTTTTTTACTTTCTAACAAATTACAATTTGCAGATATTGCAAAATCAATCACGATATGACGTGTATTATTTTCAAACGTATTTATGACGGCTTTCGTGTAAGAAATATGGAAAAAAATATATTTATGATTACAATGTTTTTATTTGACGTCAAGGTTGGTTTTTGAAATCAAAAATTTTAGTACAATACAAAAACAATTTTATACTGTAAGTGGTCTAAATCAATAAATTTAAACAAAGAGTCTATCAGAACATTAAAATAGAAAATGGAAAATGCCTTAATGTACATGTCATTGATAAACTGTGATTAATATTGGTATTATCAACAAATACAATTGAATACTTTAAATTACTCTGTAGCAAAATTTATGTCTTTGTAGGTGTAATTCCGTGATAACAATATGTAATATTGTTAAATAACGTGGTAAATTATGATAGTGGCTAAAACAGCACTCACCTGTGTTTATGGAAAAGTAATACAACTAGCCAAATAGAAAACAAAAAAGTTCCCGTGATTTCGCACATATCAAAGGCCCATGGTATGTGTGGGACATTATCTAGGAAAATGTCTGGAAGAGGCGGATACTTCTTCATATCTGGAACCCTATCATGTACTATGACCATCACAAAGGCGGTGATCCAAGTAACACCAACAACGTAACAAAAACTAACAAAAGCTTTGGTCTTTTCTGGAGGCAGTCTTGGTATGCGTCCATCTTCAGAGACAGGTGGAGATATTCTTTCCGATTCGCTATATTCGCTGCAATCGTGCTTATTAAAATGCTGCTGAGGGGCGTACAAATTAACGTTGGGTATTTCGAGGATGCCCAGATCAATCAAGACATTCTGGTTGTCTCTTTGGAGGGTTTTACACGCTATGTAGAGACACTTCCTGTCCCTTAGGGTGAGTGAGCTGAGAGGTTCGGCGGCGAAATCGTGTTCGTTTAAGACGAGAAGACATTTACCGTTGAGTTGGTTTTCATGGCAAAGAATTTTAATAACGGTATCGTCGAAACCTTCCTTTCTTAACCACACTTCTGTGTCACTCACGGTCCACTCCATTACTGGAGGGTCCGACATTATTCGAGGAAAATGGAGCACTGTTATCTTAACATTATTTGAACTGTTCACTTTTAGTGATTGAAGTTGTTTTCACGGAAGAAACTTGTGACTAACCTACACGTGATATTTGGCGTTTCTTGACACATTTTTTGTTTCCATTCCAGTGATCATGCGATCCAATCAGAATGTGCCATTCTCCCATTCATTCTCACAAATAACTTGAAACGTGGCGCCCTCTTAAGAAAGTTGCTAATTTTAATTTTTTAACTTAATTTTAAACCTCCACTACTTTTATAACAATATCATAAAATAATTACAACATAGTAATTAATTAATTAATTAATTAAAATAAGTTGCATTTATTTACTAATCAAAGTGTCCTCTACCAGAGATTTTTTAAAGTTAAATGTTGGATGCTACAGATTTCTTTCTCTTAAGTCACAAAAAGTTTTACAGATGTAATTAGGCAACCAGAAAATCACGTTCTAGTGGACATTTCACATTTCCGAATAATCCAAATTCAGAAAATTAATCTCGGTTTTGATATTGTTACGTATTTAATAATTATGATTGTAATAAAAATTAAGAAATTACTAGTGTTTTTCATATTATTTTTCAACATCAGAAAAGCTTTTCTTGACAGTTCCATCTTTTATTGCATTAACAAATTTGAGTTTTTTTGTGCATTTCAAAAACATTCTTGTTTTGTGCTGTATTAGTAATGGACATATAGTACACAGGCTGAGTCACATTACAGGATGCGCCAGAACTTGCACCCTAAAGAAAAATGCCATATAAAGAACGGAGAAAATATTAAAAAAATATATCAAACTTATGATAGTTTAAACTTTGCACATTGACTATTTATTTCTGTTGAAAAACGATTTTCTAAGTTTTTTTGTTAGATGTTATTAGAAGAGGAAACAAGGAAGCTGTATCCTAAATTGTAACTCCGTTTAATGTTATTTGTGACTTTATTATTGGCAAAATTATTATACTTTTACGAAATAATTATGCAAAAACATATAAGTACAAGATGATCAGTATCATTATGTAGACATATAAAATTTTTGACAAATAGCATATTTTAAACATTTTTTTCATGTTCCTGGTATCCTACCTTATACAGAGTGCGCCAGAACTTGCGCAGAAAAAATTTCAAGTAAGATATGATACCAGGAACATGGAAAAAATGTTTAAAAAATTTTGACATTTATTTTTTGACATTTGACATTTGACATTTTTTATGTCTATTTAATTTTTCTATAATTATTTAGTAAAGATCAAAAAATTTTGCCAATAAAAGCCACAAATAACATTGAACAGAATTACAATTTAGTATACAGTTTCCTTGTTTCCTGTTCTAATAGCCTATAGCAAAAAAACTTAGAAAATTATTTTTCCAACAGAAATAAATAGAGTCAAAGTCCAAAATTTAAAGTCTCATAACTTCGAAGTTTTTATAGGTAAATTTTTTTAACATTTTTTCCATGTTCCTGGTATCTTACTTGATATGGCATTTTTCTCTGGGGCGCGAGTTCTGGCACACCCTGTACATCAGTTATAATTATTTTTATATTTTTATAGATAATTTTTTTTTATGTTCGTGGTATCTTTCCTTATATGGCATTTTTTTCTGGGGTGCGAGTTCTGACACTCTGTGTAGCACCATCCGAATCCTAAAAATTGACACTAACAATTTCATTCTACCTAGATGAAAACCTAATTTAAACTATATGAATTTTTAGAATAACAAATAGTATGCCAAAAGTAAATATCGTAGTTTTCAAGTGAGTCGCCACTGTATGTACGCTTTTTTGCTTTTTAAAGCAGATTAAAGCAAATGATGTACTTAGCTAACATGTGCTACGTTGTTAGTAATCAATAAATTTAATTTGCACATTAGAATAAAAAAAAGATAAAATGAATTGGAGGTTTTCATCATAGTTGGTTAAACTGCTTGTTTATTGATAAATTCATATAAAAACAAAAACGTTTTATCAGCTGTCAAATTAAAAAGCAGTAAGCACACTAAATAAGTTACAATTAGATGTTCTTTGATAAAAGCACAAAAATTTTCCATTCCTAATGTGGATCAATATTCGAATTGACAAAATTCACTAATAAAAAAACCCACGCTCATTTTTGTTAAATGTAAAAAGTAAAACAAAAAAAGGTTTTCGCTATTTATTCGTTTTACAAAATAAGTATATAGTGATCTGCACGGTTTTTTAATTGTTTTCAGAAATCATCTGTATAAAAAAATCGATAAAAATTGAAGAAAATGTAGATAGTTGTAATACAATACTCCTATAATCCTTATATCATAGTATTTGTAAAAAAAATATTTTATAGTGGGTTACCATTTGAAAGAATTATAAATTTTGCAGAATTCAAAAACACAAAAAAAATTCGTAAAAAATTTTATTCTTGAAAATCGTCATATTTTTATAGTGCGAGTATTTATCATTCATCAAATAGTTTTTCAAAAAATAAATAGTTTAAGCAAAAAATGTTCTATCGTATACGTAATTTAAAAGTTTTGTTTGAATGAAGAACTCCTAAAGTTGTAATTAATTTACTCTCTTGCTAACAGTCCTAACCCTGAACACCTCAAAATTGTTTAAATATAAAATGTGTGAATAAAAACTACATAATACACTTCCGCTTTTCGACGTGAAAATCATTTTTATATTATATTTTATATTTTCTTTTGTCTAATTTTATTAATTTTTAATTTTTGATTTTAAAGTGTTTGTTATGTCTTCTAATAATCCTCTTAAAGCTGACAAATCTTGTTAATAGTATTGGGTAAGCTCACTTAATTGAATTGTAACTTTCGTTTAAATAATTAGTATGTATGTACTTACGTTTCTTTAGAACCAGAAGATGGCCTAAAACCGAAACCGGTCGTTCCCAATAAAAGAAAAAAGCCTGAGAAAGATTTTGATTTATTATTATCCCCTATCATAACCAACTATTTTTATAAATATTAGGTACTTCCTTAGATATATTTTATTTGCCGAAAGGTTTGTAAAGCTGAAAAAAATTCACCAATCTTCTTTGCTTAATAGAGTTATAGTCACAATTCTTATCAAGAAAATATTTGCTTACAATAAAGTCAAAAGTCGAATTAACATTTAATAAAAATTTATTAAAATAAGTACAGAAACGTATTATTGGTATGGCGATTATCGGATTACAATACTAATATTTTAGTGGAAAGATTAAAACAAGACATTTTCTATAAAAAAGATGTAGGCAATACTTTGTTTTAGTGAGAAATTAAAATCTCTTAAATCCTGTTTAAACCATCATAGAGCGTAAAAAGATTATATGAACCCAAAGTTATTTTCTGCTCGACGGTTTTAAAAAATTGACTACACCGTTACCATCATGCTAAATATTCATGCATGGTGTGGTATTCAGCAATACAGAATTGTTTCATTTATTAAGGTGTGTCCAGTGTGGCAGCGTCCGAAATTAATCACAGGATTTAAGAAATTAATGTAATTAATTAATGTAATTAAAAAAATCGGTGTTGCGAGAAAAAGGTGTGATCCAAAAATTAGTCATAAATTTTGTTAATTTTAGACCGACTTTGGAAATAAACCTACAATTTGTGTAACCTTGCAATTACAGTAAAACTTGTGAAACAGAAGCTATAGTTATCGAAGCATTTCGAAAAATTGTTATTTATCATGTCGTAACTGTAATCACTTGCAAATAAAAGTGTAAATAAAAAATACACACAAACCTTTTGAGGAATCAATGGGTAATTTTATTTGCACATTACGTTTGTTAAATGTTTAAACAAAAATTACGTAAGAAAATACTAAAACTGCTAGTTAGAATTAGTCGTCACTGGCTTTGATCAGAAATTGGCAGATTTTTTTGAACTAATTTTGCTTTGGACATGTGATAACATTAGTTACAGGATAACATGATGCATCGTTTGTGAATTTAAATTCGATGCAAGATGAGGAATTAAAATATGTTATGTAACAGAATGTAAAATAAATTGCTATCTTGTAATTATCGAACAAAGCTATGTTTTTCTTTTCTTCTTAGTCAACATTTGAAAAATGTCTCAAAAAGGTCGGCCCAACTGTAATTAACAAACCTTACATCCGCCCTTAGACATAACCAGTCCTCGGTTTGAGTTTACAAGAGGAAAAAAAAATTATCTTTGATTTTACGCCAAAACTGCAACGAAAAAGCACCTTAAACGAGCAAATCTGTAATTAAAACTTCATTATTCTAACTCATTAGAAAGAAAAGTTAATTTTTCTCTTAATTTTGGACTTGGAATAAATTTTCTTTACTTCCCATCACATTGGCGGTTTTATTTGTTTGCAAATGCGATGAAGTCTTTTTTTATTATTTGAAAATATCGACTCAATAATTCACAGAAAGTGTTAAACATGAACATACTGTGGTATGTAATGTCATAACAGCCTTACTCCTTATATGTTTTAAAACCCATCTGCGGCTGTAATAACATTCATTACATCTTTGGTATGTTAAAACAGCTAATAAGTTAGTTATTTGTGTATGAAAACCGTAAGTATGATCTTTTTTAGCTGAATCTGTTGTTTGCAGCTGAAATGTTAGACGAGGCTACAATTCAGATGAGGGCAAGAAAGCACTTTTGACCTAGGTGCACACAACGTTTTTTAGACAATGATCACAAAATTTTTATAAAATTGATTTTTATTATGGTCTCTGCATTCAATGGTAAAGGCAACAGTATTATTAAAACATTATTAAAAACGATATTGATATCAGTAAATTTGCAAAATTAGTTGCAAAAATGCTTATACTTGATGATTTTAAAGTACGAATATGTGCAAATATTTTAACAGGTGTTAGTAGAGCTCAAAAAAAAGTCAAAATAACTAAACTTGCCTTCACTTACAACCTCCGCATTGGCGTCGGAAAAAAATGTCAAAGTTTACACTGCTAGTAGTCCGTAACATTTGAAGTAATGAAATTCGGTGCTTCAATAAAAAAAATTGATGAAAAAGTCTTACATCTTTACCAGTTCTAAAAAAGAAGAATTTGGAAAATGTGTATAAAAATATAACTTTGCGGCTGCAAAAATGACCATAGAAACACTATTTTTGTAAAAAAACGCCTATAAAGTAACATTTTTTTCAATGTAAAATTTTTACAAAACATGCTCGAAAAATC